TATATATATATATATATATATATATATATATATATATATATATATATATATATATATATATTTCACATTCCAGTGCCTGCAATAGTAAAAACAAATCAATCATTCAAAATACAAAATTGAGATCTAAATAAGTACAATTATCATTTTTCTAAAATCTGTTCTAAAATTAATTCTTAGTTCTAAATTAATCTACTTAAGATTGAAGAGTATATATGATTTAAAATCGCTTATAAAAATATTATAACTAAAAATGTACATAAATTTAACATTTAAGATCGCGTTTAATCATTAACTATGTCATCTTTCTTGGTTATTTTAATTGCCGAAAATTGCTGACCTAAAAGCTTCATCACATCAGCGTGTCTCATGTTTTTTTCTTTCTTTATCGAGTTATAATTTTGCTTTACGTAAAGTGCAAAACCAGTAGGCTCTCTCTTTGGCGTTTGCATCTGTATAGTACCAGACTTTGTCGTTTTGTTAATTAACAATTCAAATTGTCCATAACAATAGCCACATCGCTTTGTTTCAATATTCAAAGATTTCGAATGTCTTCCAATACTGTAACAAATAACATAAATTTCTGAAATATAATAAACGATCAATTCTCATTTTAATCGATATTCAGTACCTGTATCCACAACCTGTGCATCTATATGTGAATTTAGTTTTAATTTGATAATCGTGACATCGACGAATTGGTGGTAACTCCGGAAAAATCTTCATTGCTTTATTAGCCCTGTATATAAAGTAATTTATGTAAAATCCTATTAAATATAGTAATTATATTATAATACATTAAATATAGTAATTATAAATTATTGTAGTATTTATGTTAAATTTTACAAAAAAATTAAAATGTTAGTATTTTTTATAAATTTTATGTTTACAATTAAGTTTGATTTATTCGACAAATAGAAAATATCATAATGACAATATCATACCATTCTGTCCAGAAAGGTCCATGACCATCTGAAACATTATTTATTAGCCATGATGCAGCATGACACATTTCATGAATCAAAGTATCTCTTAATCTATCTGGTGTATCTAAAATCTGCAAAATATAACTGTAGGATAGTCTACTTCAGCGAATTTACTTATTATAACTGATTATACTAAAGTTACATCAGGTTAAAAAAAAATTAAGAATATACCTTTGTTGCTAAAACAATTCTCGAGGACCTAGCGATACCACTGATACTTTTTACAGTCTTTCTATTATAGCAATATCCAGCAGTTCCTCTCATACGAATGTTCCATTCAATTGACATATCTTTAGGCAACTTATTATCAAATACTTTTTTGTTATATAATTTGTACAATTCTTTACACAATTCCTCTTTATTATTTTTGTAATTCAATCTATATTTTTTTGCATTTGGATGAGCATTGTTCATTGGAATCTCATTCGATAAAGATGCCAGAAAAGTTTGATGTCCTACAAACTTAGTTGTTGCATTCGATCTAGATGCATCTTTGAATGATTGTGGTTTCTTAACTTCTAAAAGTTAAACATTAATTTAGATGCAAGTTTTATTTTTTTTTTATTAATATTTTTATGCTTCATATATTCTAAGAATAATTTCTATTTTTAATATTAATAAAATTTATCATGTGTTTCTTACCTTTCTTATGTATGTACTTCGGTGGTATATAATCTCCAGGATCATACTCGCTCGTGCTAGAACTCTCATTATCGCTAAATGATAATTTTCTTCTATTCAAATTCCTCTTAGCATCACTATTGGATTTATCATCTTCACTTTCAGTATCTGTATCACATATCATTTGTAGTCTGTATTGAAAATAAGATGATTAAATTTGACTTTATTGTACCGAAATTTTTTAATTTTAACTAAAATTTTTAATTTAAATTGTCTAATTTTAATTAAAGTTTAATCAAATTCAATATTTTCATTAATACCAATAACAAATAGAGCACACAAATACCGTTTAATTGAAGCTGGCGCCGGTATGGTTTTACTCGTACTATTTGTAAAAAAACTTATAGGATTTGTTAATGCACGATGATATGTACTTTCGCTGTCATTACCTGATGATTCATCATCAATAAAACTATTTACTTTCTTTTGTTTTCGTTGGATATTCTTTTCTTGATTTGATTTGGTATTATTTTTCACTGAAAACCCATTTTTTTTTTTTTAAGAATAATATGGAAGCACATTACGTTTTAATAAAATATGATAAAAATCTTACCAAAATTAGATTTATCCGAGTCCGAATCTATTATATGATACTTATTCTTTGATACAGGTTTTCTATAATAAAAATATAATATTAGATACATATTTTTATTAAAACAAGATGATAAATATATATAAATATATATAAATTACCGTTCAGTTTGGACAATTCTGTTTATCGTTTCAACACATGTCTTCTGTGGCTCAGTTGGAAGTAATACATCAGCTTTATCTCTCCACGATGTACCATATAATTTATCTAAAATATCCACATAATGTGCTACATCTTTGATTTGTGCGTTTATTGCTGAAGATGTTTTTCTAACTTCAGTTTGCGCTTTTAGCAGCTTTGGTTTATTATTTGGTGTACGAAATTCAGTATTATTCTTGGATTTTTTAAAAAATTGATCCAATGTAGTTTGCCGTGTCAAAAATGAATTAATTATTCTGTCGGAGTCTATAATTGTCCTTTGTTTCTCATCAGTCCGTGTTTTGTTAAATTTTTTTCGATTGTTTGGAGTTTCATAGTTTAGTTCTAATCTTTCTAGACTGCTATTTCCAGAATTGCTGCAAGTAACACTTGGAGGTATGATACTGGAGGAGCTACTTCGAGAATCAGATATTCTGCAATTTGTTAGCCATTCTGCAATTTGTTTCTTTTTCTTCTCGGACAGTGGTCTGTAAAGATCCTCTTCTTGTGGCATGTCAAGATATTTGTCATCTGTTTTGGATGATTCAGACAAATCCATTTGTGAATCAGGAATAATATGATTCTTAAGACTAGATTCAATGACATCAGGACTGCCATTGAGATGTTGTACTTTTTTAATATAACTAGCTGACAATGCTGGATGTATCTCATCCTCATCTGCATCTATACTCTCATCAATTATTACATTAATTTCCTTTTTCTCTTTTGGAGTATTATATGCAACTTGCGTACCTTTAATATTTCTAAAAATTTTACGAGCGTCTTTTTTCGTCAGTCTGACTTTTCCTGTACTATCTTGTGGAGTTTTACAAGTTGGATGTTTATTCTTTCTACTCGAAATATTAGAGCTATTGTATGTGGCACCTTTAATTATTTTATTTGTTTCTTTAGCACTTTGTCCAATTGAATTCAAATTTATTTCTTGTTCATGCATTAATATAGGGCTTCTAACATTAAATTTATTTAATTGATTCTTACCATAGTTTGTATCTTTACTGATCGCAGTCTTGTCATTACTTGATGAGGTATCATTACAAGTGAAAAATACATCTGATGATTTATCAGAAGTCAATAAAGTATCATTGGAAATTAATAATGCCTCATTTGTCTTATTATCAATTGTCTTAGTATCAATTTGTATAACAGTTTTATTTACAGATCTCAGATCTGCAAATTTATTGTCATATCTAACAGGTTTTTTCAAAGGATTTAACTTCTTTTTATCATCTTCGCTGTCTGAAGAACTATCCAAAATAATTTCCCCATATTCTTTTTTCTTGTTATCCTTAGAAGACAAACTGGATTTCCATTTTGACTTATCAGGGCGTTCAGGTGATGAGCTACAACTGGAATCGCTAATCACAATGACATCTTCCGTCTCCTTGTTCATATTGAAATGTGATAACGAAAGGTTTTCTTCTATAGTAGAACCCTCAGAGAGTCGTAACGTAAAGTTTTGTGAATCGCACACCGAAGCCCCCATATTCCAGTTAGACGTCATTTTTAATTCCTTTTATTTTTTCGGATTCCTCTTACACCTCTTTTTTTATTTTTGAGTAAGGATTTTGGGTAAGGACCGCCTTGCAGATATCGTAGTCTTCGATGATCACGTCCTTCAAAAAAGGTAAACAAGAGGAAAAAATAATATCAACTGATAAACACGTGATAAATTTTGATAAGGATTAAAGAAAGAGTGTATGGAGTTTACTTGCACATTCACCTTATATCGCTCATGGAAATTATATAGTACTTCTATGAGTTTTTTTTTTTATCAATTTCTGTCAAGTAAAAGACATTATTATTGTACGGAAAATCGTCGTCACGTTCATGCACGTCCGCGAAACAACGGACTCAACTTTTAAATCTCCAACGAGCAGTCCGTTAAATTGCTATTGCCAACTGCACAAAGACAAACTCTGTGAGATCACTAAACTTTCGATATAAATTACTTATCATTGATATTTATTTGCATTCGATATAGAATTTAAAAAAATTAAGCTTTTTAATCTGCACTTAATGTGAAATTTAATTTTGTTGAACAATTTATATTTTTTTAAAAGTAATCACAGTCATTGATAAAGTAACCAATGACTTTACCGATCTAAATTATTTTTTTTTAATTAAATAATAATTAATAAACTGAGCAAGGTTAAACTCATAGAAGTTGGCAAAATATAGGATAATATTAGAAGAGCTCGCATTGATTCCAATAGCTTCTCTAAAATTGTCAACAATTTAATAAGATTTCAAATGATCGAATAATTATTTTTATCATAAGAGAAGGTGGCGAGTTAGTTAAGCCTAGGTAACAGTAGAGGGTGCGACCTGTCACCTTCGTGAAATCATAATTTGACGTAAGAATGATCACGCAGGCATTTAAACTTGGCAAATCCGAACACAATATACTGCGGACTTTCACGTATGTACATCTACTCATCCACGTACACGCTCGGTGAATGATAAGCCGATAAACATCTATGGAAAATTGGAGCAAGATGCAATTTAACTTATGAGTAATAAAAAAAAAATAATATGCACGATACAAATGGCGCATGACGGCGGTAAGTAAAACTTTTTCTTCTTTTTTTATCTCTTAATTAAAAAACATGAAGATATTTACTCAGTTACGTAATATTTTGACATAGTATCCCTTCAGATATGATACGATTTGTTTCATTCGCTTCAAGAAGTTGTTCTAGATTAATCTGAGAAATAACCTTAATTCTCTTTTTCATGAATTAATATCTTTTAATTTGCTAATATATCTCGCGTTTTTGCCGTTTATTATAGTATAGATTGCATCTGTACTTGTTATTTCGGCTGACGCAACCTCGCGGAACGATAGTTCTCTTCGATAAATGTCATTTGTAGAAGGCATTCAGAACTTTTCTGACCCGATACAGATACCAATGTACCAGCGATAATTCTAATTCGGAAGCCGTCCGAAATACCCGTCAAACGAGAACGAAACTCAATCAGGATCCCATCTATCGTATTATTCGCACAAAGCAGACCTCAGATTGGATTATCTATTCGCGTTTCCCGCCACACATTATGTACTCTCGCAGTATAATGCTCATGATGTGCGCGTGTAGCCGCAACAGGAGATTATAGCGTATCCACGATTAACCGTACGACCCTGATCCCGCGATATTTTGCGCCGTGTGCATCCTTGTAATGGGAAAGCCGCGCTGAAAATTATCTGGATCACCGAACCACGAAGATTGAATCTCTGGGCCCCGCGGCACCGAAAGAAAATCTGGAATGTCCTATAATTCGAGTAGATTACGTTACACTCGCGGCCGGACCCTCGCGCGAATCAATATCCGAAAGGATTTAAATTCGCGACAGCTTTTTTTCATCAAACAACATTTCGGCAGAAACGAGCGATTTTGCGCTGCAGTTTGTACGCGAGCCGCGTACGCACGATGAGCTTAAAACGTAATGAGTTGCATGCTGCGACCGCCAAGGGCGTTTTTAACAAAAAAAGGGGGAGGAGAGAAAAGAAGAAAAAAACAGACGGAGTGGAGGATGAGGCAAATCAACCGACGTCGGTTATCTATAATTTCAACGGTCGCGTTTCAACGAATAACGAACGAGGATGAGAGGAATCGAGCAGGCCCCCCCATTCCGGATCGCGTTCGCTCTCTATCCGTGTGTCCAAAATCCGAAATTGATCGCGCCGCGTGCGGCATTTGTCGCTTATTACGGCGCGGCTTAATCCCTTTAGCGCGAATATTAAATGTAAAAGCTCCGACAATTATATAGTAATTAGATTTAGTTCTCGGATTGGAAAATATTAATAAAAGTAGCTCACACGCGAGTGGCGCAAGAAGGAGAGACCTGCGTCACAGCGGGAAAGTGCCGCGCGAGAATGCGAGATATCAACGGCGTTTATGAATTGAAGGGCACCGTGAGAAGCCTTCCTTCTGATTTATCACCTCTCCTTCGGCAGGTTCTCTTCTCGCCTGTCTATAAAGCTTTATAGCACAAAGCTATACAGCACGCTCGACGTAATATAGATAACGAGACAATGATTACGCGAAGAATGTCTAAGAAGCGACTTTTTGCGAGAGCAGACGCAAGCGAAAAATACGAGATGCATTTTCTTATGCGTACTTTCCGGGGAAAATGACGCTCGACGCGAAAATGGTGCAGGCATACTACTACTTGATTCAATATTGACGCCGGTTTGTCGATCGAAGCACAATTTTCAATAATTAATAGCCTTAATTTGTTCGCGGTTACTTATTTTCAAAGAAACTAATGATGATATTAATGTCATATGATATCACAACTTAATATCATTTAATTTTAGATTCCAATTTTGAACTATTTAAATGAATTGACTGGATTTTATAATTATTCTTTTCGAAATTTGCGTAATTAAAAGAATCAAAAGAGAGACCGTTTTATCGCGCGCGAACGCTTTTTATAGAAATGATCCAAATCTAAATAAGGCTAATCAGCAAAGTGCCATTAGCGGCGGGAAATTTGCGAAAAATCTAGTGGCACGAATTGGCTGATCGTTAACATGGAACGTCGCGATTTTTCACGATGAATCCGAAGGAAGCGCGCCTCCTTTGTGTGCAAGCCCAGCGAGAGGAAGATCGACCGGCCATTGTTGAAGAACGGCCGAGAGCTGCCTCGTGAGCCATTCTTGACGTTAAATGTGATTTAACGCGGGTGCCGGGTTTCTCGAAAGAAACGGGACGTACGCCATGCCGATATAGCCGCGACGCTGTTGATAAAAGCGGCCCGTGTGTTAGGAAAACAATGCCAATACGGATAATGACGGCCGCCCACGTGAACGTTGCGGTAAATATGGACAGGACGCGGCGATGGAAACAAAGAAAAATTCTCCACAAAAGCCGCGCCTTTACATCACACTTGGAAAATTACGGGGGAATCCGGCCGGAAGTAGATTAGCCGTACTATCAGAACCTCCATCCGCCGCATATGAATAATAATTCACATCACACCCCCCATGGAGCACCGCGCGCGAATACCAACATAACTTCTCCTCTCAATTAGTTCCATTAACGTTTTTCTTGCGGCCGGACTTGCGGAGTTAATTTTCGGTTCACTCGGTACAGCCGATCGCTAACGAGGGTAATATCCTCAGCCTCAGGGTTGCCTTAGGAAGTTGATTTCTGCAGAAGCGCGTTAATTGCCGACGCTAACTGACGCTGGTTTGGTAACGATCGATTTCAGCGTTGAGCGCCCACAATCCTTCGGCGCATTCACGGGGATGTTCGTCCCGCTTAACGGGATATTACGTTTAACAAGATGTTTGCGAATCCCGCGCCGGGCGTTGTTTTAGCCAAATAGGATAAAGAACCGATAAGCAGAGACCGCGCGAGGCGATTCTTCCAATTTGGAAAGAAGAAATATATTCGACGTCCTTTCTCTTCCCGGAACCATCGATCGGACGTATCGGGAATGCCAATTCTAAACGTGTTTGGCGGAATTGATTTCGGTACTCGGCTCGTACTCCACTCCGCCAATCGAGGATAAATTATTTTTGCAAAGTGTACATTGCCCGCGTAACAATTTCGGATCTTCCATTCCGGGACCTCTTGCGTAAAACGAAAAACCGCGGTCTTCTGGCGCGGCCAAGTTTAATCAATAATTGTACGAGTCAATAGTCACAGCTCGTAACAATTTATCCGTTTGAAAATCAAATGTGGGATCACGTGGTAATCCAAATAAATCAAATTCGTTCTAACGTTTTTCGTTTTCCCGCGGGAATTTCACCGGCGATACACTATCTGAACGATGCCGTTTTTCTATATCATGTCAGATTCATGAGGGTATCAATTCCCCGATAACATCTACAAAAACATTCGTCGATCCGGCCAATCTGTAACTCATATAAACCCATTGTGTATCTCAGAGAAGAGAGGCCGACAGAGAGAGAAAGAGAGAGAAAAAATAGGAAGGGAGCAAAAATAGGGAGCGTCGGAGTAGCCGGCGTCGCATCCGGCGCGAAAATCTGCGAGGTTTACCAGCAACTAGTGGCGTCGAAACTCCGAAACCTCCGAACCCCTGAGAGAGAGAGACCCTCTTATAACCCACTCTGCATCCCTTCTTCGTCAAATAGAGATGGAGATAAAGAGATGGAAAGATAGAAAGAGAAAGAGGGTGAAAAAGGGGAAAGAGATAGAGGATCTCGTTCCCCCATTTTCCACGAGAGAATCCTCCCTCTCACGCCTCGCTTCCGCCACCCTTTCTCTCTCTCTTCTCTCTCTCTCTCTCTCTCTCTCTCTCTCTCTCTCTCTCTCTCTCTCTCTCTCTCCCCATCGCTCCCTCTTCCTCCGCCCCTCCCCCTCTCTCTACATCTCGCACGCCGCGTTCCTCTCGCGCGCTCGCGCGTTCTTCGGCCTCTGGAGCGAGTCGCAGCATCCGTTGGACCGTTCCGGACTTCAGTCCACGTCGAGAACGCGCCACTGTCGGGACCTCGAGGAGTGACAGCCATCCGGAAGCTCGCGGTCGACGTCGCGTGCACGACATTATCGTTACTCTGTATCAAAGTCCAGCGACGATTCATCGTTCAAAATTATAACATCGTGATCTCTTCTACGACGAATATCGAAGAAAAGAAAAAAAAGCGAAAAAGAAAAAAGCATCGTCAATTACGCGCATTACGCGCGTATCAGCATAATCTTACGTATCACTGTAAATCTTACGGATAAATCCAAGCGGGAGCGCAATTTCTTTGATCACGACGTGCCGGTTGATCCGCTGTTAATACGAACACTCGAGTCATTGCCGATCGAGACTGTGGTACCAATCACGCTCCATTTGGTACCGCGCTCAGGTACGTCACTCGGAGAGGTCGCAAAGTTCTCGAAGGGCATCAAGAAGTCGGTAGATTGGGCCGGAACTAAAACTCGTCAGCAAGTTTTCGGACTGAATTCTCGAATCATCGGACGAAACGAAACGAACAATTACTCACTGGATGCCCTAAGGGCTGCGGAGGTCGCCCCCGGGCCAGCCGGTCGCCGGTTCTGATGCCGACACGTGCTGAGCGTGATCGTTGAGGGTGCGGCGGTGCACAGAAAAAAAGCAGAGCCACGAGGGCCCGCGGGGAGAGCTGAAGAAGAGGGATCTCGAGCCGGGCGACTGCCGGGAGTTGTTGCCCAGTCCCGGCGAGGGGGCGGACATCGGGCCCGGATGCTCGCGAGGACAAGACGCCGGAAGCGCTGCCACGTTGGAAGGGAAAATATTGACGGCCGTCAACAAGTTCCTTACAACGTCCCCTTTGGTTAACAAGGTCAAGTTGCTGATGGTGAGTTTCTCGATCTCTCGTTCCTATCTCTTTCTCTCTCCCTCTCTC